TTATCAGAGCTAAAATGTTGAGTATGGTTGTTGTCAATATGATTAGACACTATTCTTCATTTAACATTTGGTATCTCTATTTTTTGTAAACTACAAATGTCCAAAACTTTGTCAAATAATGTTGAATAGTTATCTTCATCAGTTCTTAAGTCAGTTAAAGATTTTTTTAGTGCTTCAACAATTGATACGGCAGCTTGCAGCTAAGAGGTCTAGGTGATATTAGGTCTAGCGATTGTAACTTTGCGCCAACTATGCGAATTTGAATCAGGATAGGTTTTAAAACAGTTAAAGCAAATATATAATTGAAACTTTTAAGAATGTTGTTAGAAAAAAAAGTCATTTTTCTCAAAACTATCACATTGCCACCTACTGCCTTTTGGCTAAGGAGGGAAGTACTAAATACTACGCAGTAGAGCGAGTTCCCAGATTTTTATATTATAGACTTAGATTTGTACTTAAAATATGTATTTCTAATCACATTTTATATTATATTTGAGTAGAATTAAAAAAAATTACTCACCTCGTATTTATCAGCTATATTACTATTGACTTTTCCGATTTGAGGATGTCCAATCTCTAAGTGTGTGTGCATTGTTCCGCAACATTTCAATGAACTTTTTTTTGTACATCTCCAGGTTAATCTTTTACGTCCTTGATGTTTCATAATATATGTATATCCTCTCTAACAAATTTTGTTCCCACCTTTGTTGGACTTGATAACTTCCATTTTTACAAAAAATGTCGGTATTGTAACACGAATTCACGTCGAAATGTAACTGATGCTTTGGATTGACACAAAATGTGTGGAAGTTGCAGTTTATATCTATAAGCAGTTATCTCCACCCACCGCTAGCAAAGTCATACATTTTAAACTTTTATTATACCCAATACTCAATAGGTTGTAGGATTTTACGTATATTTTAGTTTATATATATCCCATCTACGACAGTTATTTGGTATGAGTTCGATAAGGCACTCGGTCTGTAATATTGTTGTTACCTAGTATTATGTAGGTACCATAATATAAAAAATAATAATATAATAATACTATATTACTTATTAGTTATTATAACTTATAACTTTGTCGTTTTTTACCGAATCAGTATCACTATACTATACTATATAGTATCGGTTAGTGATGTGTCCTATAGACTGTACAGGCAATTCAGTATAGTCAGGGCTGGGCAAGATACCTCAAAAAAAGTATCTAAATACAAGATACAAGATACTATAATATTTTTAAAGATACTAGATACAAGATACATGTATCTGAGATACCTGTAAGATATAAGATATTTAATATACTTATTTATTTTTATTAATTTCTTAATTTACCTTGGATACAATTTTATCATATATAATTTATATTATATTATAGGTTATAAATGTATAATAATACAGTATGAATTGATCATTAACAATACAATTTCAAATAACATTATAAACGCTTAAAATAATAATATTAATAATAGACAAACGAAATATTAGGTTAAAAGATTTTCAGTCTATAAAAAAAATTACGTACACAATAAGAAAACGTTATAAAAAAATAAATATGATTATAAACTAGCAATGTTTACTTATTATTTATTAAATGTTTAAATGTAGGTGATTTATATAAATATTTAATTATATTATTTATATCCCATGTTTTGTAATAAATTCTTAGTTAACTTTTAAAGACACTAATTTTTTGAAAGTATCATCTGACATACTACATCTGCATGGAGAATGAATACGCTCAGCAAAAGAAAATAGTCGTTCAACAGCTGCTGAAGAGGTTAGGCTTGTATTATATAGATTTAGATATTAAATTAATATTTACAAATATAAATATAAAATAACATTAAAACAATGCACAAAATATAATTTTTTCGTCACTTTGTCAGTCTACACAAACACTGCACAGATGCATAATACACACAAGACAGAGAATATGAACTGACAGTCATCAGTCGGCGACCGATGATCAACTAAGTCTTATCGCTGATATAATATTATCGCCAGACACCAAAGTTACTTAAATCTAATGTATTACTATCTAACATATTATTACTTATTGAGAAATTAGGAAAATTGTTATATAAATGAAATATGAAACATATTTTTTGAATGTATCTTAATCATAAAAAGATACTAGATACAAGTCAATGAAGTATTTAAATGCCCGATACAAGATACAATTGTATCTAAGATACTGTCCAGCCCCGAGTATAGTATGGTATTGTAGTATAGAGTAATACCAATATGGCAATATGTTATACCTTATCGTTTCCATCTTTTCTAATATATAATAAATAATAATATATTATATTATAAGCATTATGAAAGATCAGTTAGGTACTTATGTGTATATATTTTTATCAAAATTATTATTAAATAGGTTTTATAAGATTATATTAATTTTTATTCAACTATTGTATTAGAAAATCTTAACTTTCGATGTATTGGTGAATGGATATTTTACTATCATAATAATAATAATTATATATGTATTATAAGACTATATTCATTTTTATTCGATTAATGTAATATGTTAAAACAGTTTATTGCCAATTGTTTTATTTCATTATTTTTTCACAAAGTTGTAGGTAATAATGTTTGATAAACTACTGTCCGAAAAAGGGGCCTCCCCATGATGGCACATGAAATCGCAGGGGGTGCAGGTGCATATACACGTAAACGTAAAGGGAAAATTTCTTGTACTCATGAATCATGATCATGATGACTAGCTAGTTAACAACTACTTTCATAGGTACTACCTATCTAGGAAGGTACCTACTTAATGCTCAATGATCGGGAGATAGCGTATATCTACCTACCCTCTAAAGAATAAAGATTATATTGTGTGAAAATATTCTCCAATTTCCAACTTTATGTGCATCAAATACACATATCACCATAATACATTATAACATCTAAGTAATTTAAAAACCTACACTGGCCGGGTTTACACAGACCGGCCCAAAGTTGGCCCGGCCCGGACGGGCTTTGGGCCGGACTACATTCTATAAAATGCAAGGCTGGGCCGGACCTCTATTATTATAAAAGTTATGGGGCCGGACCACTTTTTAGACATAAGTTACTGGCCGGGCCAGGTTTATATGAAAAATTAGGAAATTCTAGCAGGACCAAAATTATAAATAAAAAAAAAATATAATATTATGCTATCGAATATGAATTATAGACATGTACAAAATATGATATATGATGAAATTAACTTGCTACCTTTATTATGAAGAAGCTCTAAAAATATTGTTGGATCGTGCCGGTTTTCTAAAAAATTTTATTGGGCCGGGCTTTCTAAAAATACTACAGGGCCAGATCGTGTCAGGCTGTAAAAAGTATTACCGGGCCGGATCTAATTAATGTGATTAATATCATCAAAAACGAATAAGGCGACTCCACACCGAAATTGACCTCACCGGGCTTAGACTTTACATCGAATAATGTATAGGTGCCATAGAGGACTTATAATAAGGTAGAAACTAAATATAGATGGCACTATAGCAGTAACACATAATTTGAAGTATTTAGTAACTAATATCTCTTCATTGCACCTATACGGCTATATACATAATATCATTAAGTAATAAGTATATATTATATACATATAATAAATACTATGTAAATGCAGATAATACAGATTTTACCATTTACTTCAAAAGTATACATAATATATATTTATACGTCATATTATATAGGTGTAAGAGTGCGAATGTGCAATTTATTTTAGTATTATTGGTATTATTTTGGGTGTATAAGGACTAATTTATTATTATTATTAATAATGTATTATATTATCTCCACACAACGGTCAACGGAAAATAAATATGAAAAAAAAATTATTGGGAAACCTAAAATACATTTCCTCCGGCCATATAATATCAAATATGATATTTAAATATCACCCGAAATTATTGAATCATTTAGAATATTCATACCTCAATTTTTAATTATAGCTTGAGTTTAACGATCTTAATACATGCATTTTACTAACTAATATGGTACTGAAATACTGTTTTAATACTTAAATAGTTAAATCTAGCTGTTTCGTGGGTATATGGTACAGAGTAATGACTATATAGACTTGCAGTATAAACGCTACACGTGTATTATATTATTTTAATTTGTTCCAAGAAATATTAAACCATCAAACTCAAAACGCAACGAAAACTGCGAAATAAATAATGAAATAATGCATAACACCGACGCATACGGCAAGGATGTGGATATACACAGATACACTGTATGAGGATTATTATAAATAATTACCTATATGGTTATATGTAATTGTGTGGAATGCGCCAACATCGATATAGTCAAGTAGTTTATAAAAAATAATGTTTTAAAAATATTCAAAATTGTAAAACTGTATTTTACATAGCTGCAGGTAGATGAAAATATTGTTTGAAAACATTTTGGAGGATGTTTGAACCATTAAATCCATTTGTACCGATATCATAATATGCCACTATCGATTATTATATTTTCTATAATTGTATTACTAACTTAATTTATACATTAATATCTTTATAAATCTTGTAACTGGTAGGTACTCGGGAATAACTTTTTATCCGATTATGTAAGTTTTGACAGTACAATAACAACTATAGGCTTAACCGCACAATAGGTGGTACAGTTGTACATTTACCTTTACCGAGTGAAAATGTAATACATTTGCGTAGCGTATAACATATGAATATTATCGTGAACTTACACATTATAGTTACATTTAAGTCATGTGTAAGGAATATTATGATTGTGTATGCACACGTATAATATAGTTTTTGATAAAAATTACGAATATGATAAGGTATTACTTGAAAATATTTCATTATGCGCATTATTTGCATATAAAGTACGCTACTCACCCTGCACCGGCTAGTGAGGCTTTCGGAAAGTGGGAGAGTCGCGACTATGCAGCCCGCCAATCGTTCGGCTTTGGAGGAAATTCGTTTTGCTATGACATATAATATTATATACAAAACAATACAGAATAATGTCGACTTTTAAACGTTTAATAAATAGTTGAAATAACTTAATCAATCGAATTAATATTTATTCTACGTAGAAACTTTTTTAATATCCTTTTCTTTTGTCTTGCTGGTTAGTTCCGTCTTGCACGCCAGCAGAGTTGATTTTGTTCGCTGACAAGTTTTCATCCCAATCGTCGCAATTCTACAGTGACATAAAATAAAGTAGGCATGTCGTATATATATATATAAAGAATACCGGATGAACTATATTTAAATTTTAAACTATATATAAACCGTAATCGTTTTAAAATATTTACCCTTTGAGCTTTATTCTCCATGCACACTGCGAAGTTTTTTGAAAATTCGCATTTGTTATTATGCGAGTCTGTGTAATGAAATCAATGGTGACGACGAATTAATTTATGTTAATAATATTATATTCCACAACTGTTTCCAAAGTTATAAGAGACTCACCCAGTTCGAGGGTGTCGAAGCATTCGTCGATTGAATCCTGTATGAATTCCTTCAGTTCGACGTCTTTTATTTGATTTGTCATGATATTCACTATTGAATGTTTGTCCGGACGAGAGTTCGAGTTCAGCTGTCCGGCAAGTATAAATATAATTTCTAAATTACTGTATTGTATAATAAGTGTAGATAGTATAACGGACTGTAATCGTTCGAGTGTTAAAAGCAACAAACTTTCTTTTATAATAGGTACGCTTTGTCGGTCATAAATATAAAATTAATCGTTTGATTTCCACACGAAATAAATCACAATACTTTTTTTATTTAGTATGAATATTGAACGATTAAAATAAGATTAGAATATTGATTTAAAATTTCAATCTTACATTCAATATAGGTATACCTATAATGGCTATATCCTGCAGTGCTTGACTTGGAAAAATTAAAGTGGGGGGGGGGCTTTGTTTACTTTAAAAAAGAGCATCCCATCCCTTGATAAACGTTATGAGTCGAAGGGGCTCTCCCCCACACCCTTTTTAATACACATATTTAAATCATATCAAAAATATTTATAAATGATTAATATATAAAAAAAAAATATAATGGCTAATTACTAACTATTGTAAATAATATAATATTATATTTATAAATAATGTTAAACTCGAAATGATAATAAAAGTAAATAAATAAATAGTTTAGTAATAATAAGTTTATATTAACTAATTTATAGATCCGTGGTTATGAAATAATTCATAGATAAGACAAATTATGATGGTATCTCTAGCATTTTGATAAATGCGTCCCATGCGTTCTCCTTAAGAATAATAGTAGGGGTACGTTAACATTTCTGAAAAATTAGTTGGGGTATTCCGTCCCCTTGCGTCCACTCCAAGTCGAGCACTGCCTATATCATTATAGGTACATACACCTATAGTTGGTAATTTTTTGAAATTATTTTTAAAAAACAATCTTTTTGATATTTAACCAAATTGTTTTGAAAATAAAAATTACTAACCATTTCCAGTTGATTGAACACGCAATGTATTGTGCACTGTAAATTCAAATTCAAATTGTATTGTTTTCAATAAGTATATGTGGACAAAATTATTAGGACCTAACCAAATATTATCGTTAAAAACACATAGATTATCTCAAATTTAACTTGATTTTGCTTAACTCAGCATATTCTAGACAAATCAGGCAATATGCCTACCTATTATAATATTTATGTACAAATCGGGGTGACTATATCATACTATATATTTATCTATATAGTTATAGCAGTAGGTAGGTATATTGTTTTATATTTCACTATATTATATGTATAAGCACATATAAATATAATACATAATATGTATGACAGAATAAGGGCTGTAATGTATCCGTTATTCCGTTCGCTATTAATATGTCAAATGCTCGAATATACGAAACTTATAAATATTGTGCTGAGTAGGGTAGTGAGCGTTGAAAAAAAGAGGTTTTTGACAAACTGAAAGGAACTGAAGTGATGCATAACATTTGGCGTATATACATACCTACATATAAAATACATACACACATAGATATATTATACATATAAGAATCCATGAATACCCGTGCGTCTCAAATGTACTTCTCTGCAGGTTGGATTGACGAAAAAAATCGTCTAACACTATCCACACATGATCTAAACATTTCCTGCTATTATATTATAATAGTCGATGCTTGAATATACAGTATACACAACTTAAGTTAGAACATATCTACGGAATACTGTATTATAATTAATTATATTGTTACTTTATTATTATTTATTACGTATTATTATGTAATATATACGGTATATATAAATTTAAAATTGAGTGTACTGAACCAATTAATATCTCTGTTAGCGTATGAGGATAACATATAATAGTCCTAATCATAATGACCACATAAACATGTTTAGTGGGGTCCACTATCTCAGTAACAAATCCGTTTGTTAAAACAGCTACAATTGTTTAAAACAAAAATAATATGTATAGTAAATAATATTATATAGGTAAGTAAGTATTTTAAAAATATCGTAAGGTTGAATTTCAAAAACGTATGACACTGAGTATAGTAAGTATAATAATAATTAAAAACATCTAACATATATTAGTACGTATATACAGATATCCACGAAGCTCTTATATTGGACAAATTAAATGTGATGTAATAGTCAAAACCTTTAAAGAACTTAAAGAAAAAGAGATCAAACGACCAGAGTGGAGAATTAGAGTTGTAAACCAACCTTCGGTTTACAAAAAAAACAGTTATTAATTATGGGTATTTACCAATGCATTAACTCAAATTCGGTATGTTGTACATTTGTAAGACAGTGACAACACAGAATCATGTTTCAGAGATATCAAATAGATGAATAAAGTTTATGACACAGTGAAATATCATGTTAAGTTTTTACATGCGAAAAACGAGTAGAGATACTGTGCAGTGTTTAAAAAATGTCTAAGAAGCATACGCAAAATTCGAATCAGTCATGTAATCGTAATATCATCGTTAGGGAAAGTGTTGATTATCATGACGTATCGATAGACGACAATGAATAATAATATGATATTTTGTGAAGTGGAGTAGCGATCAATAAAATAATTTGAAAGTATATCAATATATCTGCCATTATTATTACTATTACGGTTATGATATTTCATTAAAACTCAGTGACGTTCGACAATAATATATTTTATTATTTGGAGACGCATCTGATTTAAAACTCTTATCGATTATTTCGACTACAATACTTCGAGTCTATAAAATAAACCACAACCTCTTTTCATCCTAGGACACAATGATTCAGCTGTTGTATTAATGATATTATTATGCTATGCACTCTTACGGCGTCCATTTTGTCGAGATACGTCCCTTTGCCCGGCTGGTTTCCTCCGGCTTTAGTCACGTTTCTGAAACGATTGTTCCCCAAAAGCCTGTTATTGCTGCCCGTCACCGCCGCCTTCTGACGTTTCCTCTTATCATTGCTGTCATCCCTGCGGTACCGTCTCGTCGGCAGCGACTGTCTGTTATAGTTGGAATTGGATTGTCCCGAGTCGTAATCGACACTCGAGTAACTCCCTTGCCGGTGGTTTTTCGATCGACTGCCCGTGTTACCCTATAATACCCGGGCAAGAGTAAACAACGAAAATATACTTTATATGATACGATATGAAATAATATGTATATATTTTCCGATTTCGAGTCATAATTCGTAAGTAGGTATATGATGCGATGCATAGATAAAATGATAGTATTTTAATGCATATAATATATACATTTATATATAAATAGGTATATAGTGTCGAATTTCCGTTCCACGCCTCAACTGCGCAACGTTCGTGGATTATCGCTGTCGTCTGAAATACTGTACCGAGTGCACCTACCTATATGACATCATAAGCATTATAATGATATGATGGGAATATATAACTGATGAAGTCAACGTGGCCACTGGCCAGGTATTTAATATTATTATTATTTTTATTATTATCTAATATTGGATTATTATTTATCATACATGGATCATTTTTACAAATTATAAATGTTGATAGATGAATACCTATTAATTATTATAATGTTCAGATCAACATGGTCGGCATATATTCCAAGCATATCATATATTTACTATGTAGTATTATCCTTAGTATATTCACAAAGTTCAATAGCTCAAAAACTAATTTTCGAATATTGATTTTGATAGGTCCCTACTTCAAAATATTTAGAATAATATTAACCACTAAATAATTTACAGTAAAAAAGGGGATTATGGAAATGGAAGTTTATTTCACCACAAGACACTCTTTAATTAGTACAAACAATTTCAAGAATTTTAATGTGATTTTAATGGTCTTAATGGGTGTATTTAAAAATTCCAAACATCAGATTTTGAATAACTGCATTATTGAAGAAAAAAGGGGTGATCATGCTCGGTGAATTACTCTGTATAGTGTATATAATAATTCATCATATAAATCATGCAAATTTTAGGACTGAACACTCATTTGCTGTCTTCATCTTACAGTTAACATAGCACTCTAATGTTCAGCAGTTCCTGTTAAGCTTTGTTACTTTTAAAATCATAGTCTAAAAGATTCATAATTTATCAGAAATGTAACAAACTAACAACATTATGTGTGCTTGTGCGTCGGGTTTTTTTAAAAATTTTAATCGAGCTATTGAAATTCTTAAATCATAATATTTTTTATACACTCATAGAACAATTTTGCACTTACAAATGGAAATATATCAAAGATAAAGATGAAATTCATATATAAGACGAAAATAACAAATTTAGGAGTTGCACTGTTACGCCTTTCTAAATTAACTGAAAACATAGTAAAATATAGTGCCCGATCAATCTATAGGTTAGGTTAGAGAATAAAGTAAATCTTCAAAACTTAAAAAAAACTTATGATTGATTGTTATAAGAAATTATGATAAATATTTCAAATTTTTTAAAAATTATTTTTTTCATTTGTTCTCATATGCATAATATTATTGTATCGTGTTTATTTTATATTTGTACTGTCCTATATAATATAGTCCCGTATAGTCACATTTAAAGTTTTTAAGTTGAGTCATAAAAATATATTTTCAAACAAAATTCCCCTTTTGGGCTGAACATTATAGCCTTACTATGACCAAAAATGCACGAGATAGGTAGTGTTTACATAGTTGAGGGACTTATATATTTTTTTTACTGTTAGCTCTTTTTAGGCCTGTTGTAGAAATACACGAGTTTTTAAAATTACATTTTTAAATATAAAACCGCAAATCACATAGCTGCACGTCGTAATTTCATATATTATTGGTACACACGGTACTAGCTATTACAATATTATGACGTCAAGTCGTTGGTTTGTAAGAAAAGCGGAATTTGACTCGTAATTATATAGGTACCGTCCACTACGCCGTCGTCGTCGGCCGGAGAAACCATTTAAATGAGTATAGGTACGTTCCGTCACATTAATTTTTCGGACGTGTGGAAAATGCGCATACTACAAACCACGCGAGTACTGTAGCACCTAAGCGCAGTAAGAAGTCTTTCTAAATAGTCACGACTATGTCGTAAAAAAAGAAAATAATATGAAAATAATAAAATAATATTATTTTGACACTCACCGAATATTGTTGCGGTCGGGCTTCGCCGCACGACGACTGGTCGCGGTCGTAACTGCCGCCGCCGCTACCACGGTTACCGCTGAAGTCCTGTCGGTTCACGCTGAACTCGCGATTGTTATTGTTGTTTCGGCGACCGTCTCCGTTCCACCGACCGTCGTTGTCGCCGCTGCCGCCGGACGCGTAAGTAGAATAATCTCCGTCCACCGCCGACGCCGGTCGGTCGCCCGAAGTCGTGTTGTTGCACTGTTCAGCGATATCGAAAAACTCCCCATGGCGTCTCGAGTGGTCTGCCGTCCTGCACTTAAGGTTCTACACGACATTATTGTGTGGAATATTATTATGATTGGTTTTCATCACGACTGCGCACGCGGACTTGAAGTGTCAATACCGCGGTGGTATCAACAAGACTATTATACACATTAGCGGAGGATCCAGAAATTAGTTAATGCAGTTNGGGGGGGGGGGGGGGGGGGGGGGATTAAAATTTGGCTAACATCACAAATAACAATTTAATATATTATTTAAAAAGATTTTATATAATAAGCACAAACGAAGGTATTTTTTCCATATTGCTAACACCTCTTGGGTCCACCACGGATATCTCATTATACTGCATATATATATATTATATCAAAGCTAAGCCTTAATTCACAATCACTTCCTAACGTCTTACGAGTTGAATCAAATTCGTAAAAACGTAAAATAGTGTTAAACAGCGTGTTAAAAACAAAAGGTAACTACTTATTTTTGTAGTTTTTTATAAAGCAAAAATCCCAATGTTCATTAAAATGTAAAACTGCCGATGGTCGGCTGGACAGTGTTTTGATTAAATTACGTACAAGCATAAGTGCATCAGTTCAAAAATAGTATGTACATTATAAGTTCTTAAGTAATATTAGTTATTACTATATTATATTGATATGGCAACTCGTTGTGTAGATAATTATAGAAATAAATAAGCTATAGTTATACATTGATACTAAAAATATATTTAAGACCAAAGGGTATTGGCTATATTTGCATATGTGTGTAAAATAGATCAAAGCACATTTCTAATATATACTTCTATATTATTAGTTATTAGGGCACTTATTATACAATATGTGAATAAATATTTCAGTTTAAATTACACGTGAGCATTACAAAATATTTGATACCTACATTATAATAGGTATTTTATTTTGTATATATTCTTTCAGACATTTTTACATGTTATTATAGTATTAAACATAGGATATGGTTTCAAAAAAACATATCTGGAATTTGAGAAAAATGAGTTCGCCTATAAACTATTACTTCCGAATATTATATTAAAATTATTATGTATTATAATTGAGTTATTGAAAGACATAAGTTGCACGCATTTACCGTTAAGTCCCGTAAGTAATGCTTGATAGCATCTCACGCGATGCTATTAACGATTATTAACGTAAGTCTACAAGATGACAATATTATGATAGTGTACCTATAAATAAAATTTCTGTTCCTATGTTTTTATTAGTGAAAAAGTTTGCATTTTGCAAGAACTGGCTTTTGGCTGCTAGTATATTGTACAGGGTTGGTAAGGGGGGCGTGGAAGGCAATTTTCGACACGTTCGGATAAAGCGTTTATAATGAAAAAAATAACACGGAAAGAATATTGTTGTCACAGTATAGATAGGACATATAGGTATACTGCCATGGGACGTGGAACAATTTACATAACACGCACGTTATTTGTCGTGAAAAATGTTGATTGGTAAAAAATAAAAGGTTCAAAGGACGAGGTGAAAAAAAGAATATCCCTAGTCAACACTCAACAAAATATATATATATTTTTATAAAGTGTTGTGGGCACATATTATACGGATATGCCGGTAATACATACATCTATAATATAAAAATAATGAAAAAAGTAAACTCTCACGATTGTTCCTAGTCACGAATTATAGAGTCAATTAACAATATTATTATAATTACATATTTCGTTTTTTAGATTTTAGACATTAAAAACCATATTTATTGTCAATACGAATAGTATGCAGTAATTTGATACGAAGATAAAAAAAAATTAAGTGTAGCTAAAAGAGATTCAGCACTTCAGTTGTATTACATTTGTATGTATAAATTATTTTGGAAAAATTGACTCGAGTGTCTCCACAGCGATGTACCTATAAATAGCCTATGCGGGGCTCTGTGTTATGGTTGTGATAACATAATATTAATATATTAATATATATTAATAATATTATTGTATTATAATGCATTAGAAAAAGAAGTAATACACATTTCATATTCTTACGAGGTATCGGAAAATATGATCCTTTTGGGGAGGGTGGGGGGAAAGATATTACTTATATGACATATACTTTTTAATTGATGGTTAGTAATTTTTTTGTTTATTGTTATATTTTTGTAAATGTTTCAATATTAACTTATAAATGTTGAAAATTCAATTTTGAATTTTCTTAAACAAGTGTTTAAACTAGAAGTATGTCGGACAGGATGGGACCCCGACCCCTCCCCCCGAATTGACAACACTATTTTTGTCTAAGAACGTGAAATTATAGACGATTGCACAGGTATGGGGTGCATATAATTATTTATGAAATAAATAATGATAATATATAATGCTTATACTCACGTGGACTTGACCGACGGTGAGCAGAACGGCTACCTACAGCGTCACGATAGTCGTTGTACTGCAGCTTCCTGCGCTGTTCAGCAATAATGGCATGGTGACGATGGTGATGTGTTGCGAATACAATATCGTCGTACTGTGGGTCTTTCGGTTTTATACGCATTGTCGGAAACACACGTCGCGCTTAAAATAATAATTGTGATTAATGTTATTGTGTTGTACTAGTGATTGATATGAAAACAAATTGAAAACATTTTTAGATTCCGGTCAGGACCTACAACGCATATAAAACGGGCCGATGCCGCCGCCGAATGCGGTCGGAAGTAATAGTGTAGTCGTTGTGTTGTGGAAGTGGCGGGGGGGGGGGACACGCACGTGGTGTATATATGGTATATAGGTTTCTATAATTATATAATGATATGCTGATGTAAGTACAATGGGATATTCATAGGATATGCATATCTATCGCGTGTACCTACATATTATGGTGTCTAGCGCGTTCGTCTTGGTCGACATTTTTTCACGAGTAATTAATAATAAATTATTTACATATACGCGATATAGGTAGGTACATACGCCCGAGGACAAAATATACAAGTAGTTTGTCACGAACATGCCATATTATGTACAATATTGTCATAATTTGTGTAGATATGACTGATGCAGTTATTATCGCAAGGACGTCCATTTGGTTATAGACTTCCAAGTTCCACTAGGGTGCAGTATCATACAAACCGTTGCGGATAAATTAAAACGGTAACCCAAACGCTACTTTAAACTATAAACACATTGAATAATATTGTTTTCAAATAATATATTATTACCAAATGTTTGGATTTGATTTTTCTTGCTGCAGAAAAAAATGTCGTACTATAATTAATGACGTTGCACTTATAATAAAATAAAATAAAACTATAACGTATAGGTATAGTATAATAAGTTTTGACCTGATATCCATCGAAATGTTGATAGATTCTCTTCCAACCCAAAATACTACCGTAGAGGTAGAGGTCCAGGTTTTCGGAGTTCCACACGGTCCGCAATAACACTACAGAATTCGAAGCTCATCACGACAATCCTCCAACTTCCGGTTACAGAATCAATTTTGAACGACCAGAATACCCAATGATGGACGGTTAAACTCAAAACTTACCGAGTCGAGTCACCGGTATTATTACTGTCGCAAAGGCAGCAGAATAAGATAGCGTGAGGCAGAACATTTGACAATTGCTATTGGTGAGCAACAATAAAACCAAGATAAAAAGAGGAATCAGCGTTTCAATTGTTCGTCTTTTTTATACTGACAAAAATATGCCAAGTCTTACAATCTAGTTATTTTGTCTTTAATTAATTGTAGGTATGTCGTATGTATATAATATATGGTATAAAATAATATAAGATAATTATATAGTATAATATTACAGGCTATTTTGCACTCAATACACTAACACTTATTACAAGATTTTTTTTACGAAGGTTTTTATTTTTATCATCAAGACGAGTTTAATTATAAAATACATTAGAGATTGAAGTGTTTGAATAGATGAATTGTGAAAAAAAATAGTAAAGAAACTCTTCTAAAGCGTTTTAAATGTTTGTTTTTAGAATTATCTCAACGACGTTAAGTAATAAGAAGTAGGTACGACAAAATTATTTGAAAAAAATAAAAGGTACCCTCTTCATAATTGATCTACTTAATGCAGATAATAACGTAAAATTACTGGGTAAATATATTGTGTATAATGTATAATATATACAATAAATTCATATAGGTACATATTAATATTATAATATGTTAGTACAACTGGTTTTACACTTATACCACACCGGAATACATAGTGTACGTATACTGCATTTAATTTATACAATACACAACACATCGATACGACGATACGATGCTTTGGGGTATAATATAATATAATATAATAACAGCAGTTGTACCTATTTGTTGATTCTACTTTTTTTTTTGATTTTAATTCATTTACAATAAAGACGATTTTGTAATGATATGCTTACACATCATTATAACAATTCTTAAAAATGTAACAAATAAATAAATAACGACCAGTCTGTCACACGTAGAAATCGGAAATCTCCAGACCCCAATAAATTTTTGTCACGGACAAAATAGTCTAATTTTATAAAACGATCAGGGATTAAGAAATTGGCAAGTACCTATGTTTGCAACGGAGCAGCGTAGGGCGTGTGGCTTTCTTACATACCGCCGAAGAAAAGGTATGGAAAAAAAGGTCGTTGTCGCAGAAGATAAATCGGATGTACAAAACAACCTTTTGAGGAAGCCGCCTATCATTTTCTGGTCGGCACAACCAGATCGTCCCTTCGCCAGTGTATGCGCACCACCAAACGGAGTAACAACCTCTCTACAAATCGTATTTATATTTACGGTTATTATTCTTATTTTTTTAGATTTTCGTTTATTCTATTTTTGCTTTATTACAATTTATTTATCCTCATAAAAACCGACAGTCGTTGTCTCCACACACTCTCACTCTCACTCGCTCCCTCCCTCTGAATCTATGTTTTCGTGTACAATAATAGATTATACACACAGCAAATCCGTTATGTAAACGGTCGGAGACTTCGGATTCCAGGAATCAGAGGAAATCAGGAGTTTGTGTTGGAAACCACGACGAAAACGATAGAGTAAAAAACCAAATAGCCGGAAATTTAGACCTGATCGAACGGTGGCGTCCGTCGTCTCACGAATGCATCTTCAATCGCGCACCGATGCAAAACGTTCTGACGCAACTCACCGTGACTACGGAGACCCCGGTGTTTATAACCTACACCTACCTGCAGCTGTATATTATACAGGTATATTTATAATTGAAAGCCTACTGCCGTAGATAGATGACGCGATCGCACGAGCCGTTTTTAATCGATTTCCGTGTTGTCAGTCTCGCTGAACAAATGGAATACGTAACCACGATATATGCGGGTTAGGCCAGGTCACGTCACGTGGTATAACAATTACTGCAGTTGTAGTCTGTAAAGCATATTAAGTGCATTAAGTGCATTATAAATTAATAACATTTTATTTTTTTTGCCTAAGTAAATATTTTTCTAATATTATTATTATGTAGGTAAATAATGCGTACATATTCCATATTTTCCATACCTATACACATAATTTAATATATTAATATATATAATACATGTGTTTCAACACGAATCGTTTATTGATAGGCACATATTACAAGGACAACAAACTTAGTCTGTAATATTATATCATACACAATACTATATATAATTGGTATTTTACGCACTATGATACTTACAATATTAATTTATAAACAATTTATTAACAATTACATTATTATTATACTTCATTATAATAATCACAGTATTATATTGGTCTACAACTGTTGTCACACTTCCAAGGTTTCGGCCTTTTGTGCGCGATACCCAAGTTCTGGATGTGAACTGTAGTTGTACACTTGCATTTTTCCGTCGTTGTCCAGGTATCCGTAATGGCCGTGGACGTTTCCTCCGTTGTCCCTTTCCTCATACCTGAACTGTCTGTTGGACCTGTTTTGGACGTCATAGTTATAATAATTACTACTTCTATCAGTGGTGGCGTGAAAATTATTTAAAATAAGTACCCGCCCACCAATTTTTCTAGTGTTAATGTGGTTGGCCTTCCTCCACCAAACCAAATTCATAAAAGTACATAAATTATTTATTAACTATAAACTAGTCCATCATTAAGATACCCACCCACAGCATCGTAATAAATACCATTATATATGGACTGAGCACTGAGCAGACCATATTATGTGGACATGTCGTAATCGTTAATGGTTTAATTGAAATGTGTTATTACTTGTTTCCAAAATACTTTCTAGAAGCTTATAAAATCTTCCACAGAAACAGTATTGTCAAAAGATATATTATTACGACTTTATGACGATTATAATGTCGAAACACGTCTGTGTAATATAATATGTGTGGTCAAAAGACGAGAAAAAAACGCAAAGAGCTGTTGTTTTCTGTCATAAACGTTTAACTGATTAAACCGAAATACACGCGAAACACAGGCTACTTACTAGATAGGATATAGGTATAATTTAACTCAGGATTATGAAATATATTATAATATTATAATATTGCATTATATTTATGACTTATGTGGGAAGCGTTTAGAATCGATGGCTGAAAAAAAGGTCTGTGACATGAACTTTGATCAAATACAATCGCTTAAATAATTAATAAATAGTTTGAAAAATACCCTTTGCCAGTGTCGAATCCAAATTTGTACGATTCAGGACCTCCGATGCCGTGCAACTGGAACTCTACCCGTTCGCCGCCGCCGTCTTCGAATGTTAAGTCACCACCAAACTGTTCGCTGAGTTGAGACTGCTCCACCGCGTCACAAATATGAAAAAAAATATGAAATGAAATTAGAAAAAATATATCCAGACAAATGTCTTGAAGGTTGCAATTATAGTATTGGTTAGGGTATGTAACAAAAAGTTTTTGTATGTATGATATGAAATAATGTTTTCGATCAAAGTTTGGATCATTTAGGATTAATACGAAACCTAACCTAACCTAACCTAGTATACGAATACATAATATTATATAAAATACATTTTTGATTTTCGTAGATATGCTATGTTTCTTTAATTTACATTAACTAATATGAGAGTATCTATTAACATCAACATCAGTTTTCCACTTGAAGTTCTTATATTACCTAAACAACTTAATACAATTAGAATTTCAATCGATTGGGAAAAACAACTTATAAGTGTTATAACCAAAAATAAAAAACAGATAATATTATAATATCTATTATTATCTATATAATACCTCACACCTCATCCTCTATAGTCTGTTTGGATATATATCTGTCAATGCACTGTAGTTATACTTGGAAAAATATCATTAAAATAATATACAGGTATAATAACACTTTACGCAATGTCGCAAAGATATAGAACCACAGTTTTCACGTACTTTCTGTGTCACCTCTTTATTTACTAATTTATTATCAGAAAAAAATATGTATATAGCTATTTTATTATACTATAATATAATACATATTATATTGAAATATTATTAAAGATGTCAGACGAAACGCCACGAAAAAAAACGAATCATACCATGCTTTTATATGAAACACAGTGGAATATAGAAGTGGTTGGATGGTACAATATGGTAAAATTGGTTGTATTTTATACCACACTCGTCAATGGAATACTTCTCTGTCTTTATTTCATAATTTTACTATAAGAAGAATACATGATGCAGACAATCAATATCATTTTTTAAGTTATCTAGGGACATCGAATGATGTACAATGATTTTTATTACATTTACTTAGCATTAGAATCTGAGGGGGATGATTAATGGATATTGGTTACACAATGATGTGCGTGCGTGTATGTGAGCTTTGTTTTTGGCGTTTGTTATATCATCTTTTGGAAAGTAAAAAACTTTATATCATTGACTTAAGAAATTTTTCTGGGTAAAAAAAATGTATCTAGTTGGTAATTTTGGGGATCAAAAGTAAAAAATATTACTCAAAAGCAACAATAGAAAAGAGTGATATTGTTGAGTTTCAAGAACAAAAAAAATCAAGCGGAATATTTTCCTGAGAATGTTTATATGTATAACACATTTAACGAGTTGCTAGTTAATTAGTTTTAAGTATTTAAAGTTCTGATGAGATCCAAGTTGTAGTAGACCAACATATTGTGAGCACTTTTGTACCACCCCACTATGCTCATAATATAGTCATAGTATACACTTTAAAGTTTAAATACGTGTAGTTAATTAAATACTCGTTCAACATTTTGTTTTTATAAGTTTGAGTTCTTAAAAAAATATTACATAATATGAAATTACCATTATATATTTTTGATCAAAGAAGAGAAAAAGATAGAAACTATAGCGATACAACATGGTAGAAAATATAATTTTTTCAACAATTTTGTTTTATTATGGCTCCAAATTATGTAAGTAATACAATTATTTTCTAAAACATTAATGTATACCCAATTAGATACTAAGCTATACATTAATAACATCACAATATTGTGATCCGGTTTTTAACGACATCACCTGTTTGTCTATAGCAATAGTACCATAATCATATTATACTCAAATCGCGCAATAACGTTTGATTTATAGTCAAAAAAATATTATATATTTATTATGAAGGAGCGAGTGTATAAATATGTACTTAATTAATTTTGCAGCAGTGTGCACATTAGACACTTTAGTTGATTGTTACTACGTTTATTTTTATAGATCATTAATTGGGCAAATGTTTATTGAGCGTTATATCATATATATACTCGTATAATAATATTATACAGATGAAATTCTACCTAGTACCAATATAGTATTTATAAATATATATTATATCATACCGCCAGTATTCTATAGTGATACGAGGGTGAAAGTCCGATATATTGCTTAAAAATTCATCACTTTTAGTGTTCCACGAAACACAGTACAAGTTTCGTTTAAAAATGTAACGGACTTCAGTGGAAACTGTTATGCATATTGTATACGCTACGCTACACGGATCGCTGGCGAAAGAAATATTTACGGTGGTATATAACATAATATGTAACGTGTATGAATAATAGTTAAAAATATACATATTCGTATAAAATATTTAAAAAACTATGCACCGATGAAAAATAAAAATGTACTACCTACCTATACTTTCTTTTACATATATTTACATAATATTTTTTGTGACTGTCTGTCTGTGGTAGGTATACAGTAAAACGGCTTAAAAATTTTTTTACGGAGTTTTTGGAATACCTAAATTTAAATTGCTCAACAGTTAAAACAAAATTGAAAATGTTATTATGTATTTAACATGTGAACAAAGATCACATTATTTTATACCGCGAAAATCTTCTCTGATATTAATATATATTTTTTATGGGACTTTCACAGTCCTCGGGATTAAGAAATAATTCGTTTTAGAATGAACGATTTAAAATTTCATTTCGGGAATGGATTCTCCTAAAACCATCGATAATGGGCAGCCTCAATTAGCAGTGGCCCATTGGGGGGATTTGCTATGCGCGGGTGGACATAATTCAGGGACCCTTGGAAAAAAAATCTATTCACTGCCATTTTACAAACACGCTGTGTATATATTGTATATTGCTTAAAGTACACGGTTTTAAATTGAATACTTATAATAATATCGTGTACAAAAATATTTGAGAGATGTATTATACTTTTAATTGCTACCCTTCTCATCCAGCATAAGCAGAAAAAAATTTGAAAAAAAAATGAATAAATATTATAATGCAGTCTATACCTCGATCCTCCCGTCGCCAATCGTCTGTCCGAAAATGCCACCCCTCCTGCATTGACCAACCTCCAACCATACTGTGATTGAATATTATTATTAATATTAATTGAAAGAAAATTATAAAAAAACCAGTGTCGTTTGCCAAAAGCGTTATGTACGAGTTAACGTTTTGCGCATAATGTCCTTGCCGTAATAACGCCGTGTATGCAGGTCTGTGCGTGTACGTAATAAAATATATAATATACAACTAGGATTTTGGCATGGAACTCGTGGGAGTAAATTTTCCCAATAAACACTGTGTTCGTGGGCCGCATCCAATAGGCAAGGGGCAGTGTTTAAGGGCATAAGGATAGGAACAGAGGATTGTTGATCCGTAGGGCTAATTTTTTTTTTAAATTTTAATTTTTGTAATCCTCTCATAACTCCACATAACCTATTTCCTACAGTTAATATTATATTTGTATATTATAACATTTAGGTAATATCAAATTATCAATATAAATTCAGTAGCTGTAACTGAAAACATCTCGTATACCTAGGTAGTTAAATAATTTTCTCATTCACAATTCAGGAAGACAATTTGAAATTGTAATTTTTTTTATCGTTTAAGTTATTTTATTATAAAAATTGTTTGTAAAACAAATACATTTTGTTTTGTATGATTGGGCAGTTTTTTTTTTTGGCTCTGTGTGCAAATTGCTAAATAGGGCCCTGCCTGACCTTACTTACGGCAAATAAATATTTATTATTTAATAATTATATCATAACACACATTGTCTTAATGATATTATCATATTTGTTACGATGATTATTAATATTAAAATCATACGAATAATAACGTTAAGAAAAAATTGGTAAATCGACCAAACCTTTTTTTGGTTCTTCGTTCTAAACAATTTGATTCATTGTTTTAAAAAAACCTATAAAAAAATGTGTGGTAATGCACTTTATATTTTAGGTTTTTTGGAGTCTGGAAGATTTTTAGATTTTCTAGTTCATCAATGCTTAACAATTAATAATATAGGCCAATGTATTATTATTTCGTGTCTCTATAGAATTATTACAGTTTCAAATCTAAGCGATACCGATTTAGAAAATTCGTTGACAGAAAAAATATACACGATCATTGTAAGACTAATATCAATATCGTCTTCGCTTCATTGCTCTAATTCAAAACTAAAAAGATTTTCTATTTCCTTCATAACAAATATATTTGACAGCTCTTTAACAAAGTATACAACGTATATACGCTGTTTGAAACATAATCTCTTATCCACATTACGGCGACTATGACAAATAAGAAAAAGTAAAATACTGTACCTATATAATAAAATGCTCTCAAGTAAAGCGAAGGAAAGTTATTTGGTTTTATGAAGTGTTTTTTTTTCTGTTGACACTTTTTCATAGACATAAATAACTACAAAGCTTATGCTTCAAAAAAGATTGAAATTTTAACACAGCAGATTGCCCAACGTTTTTAAAAGTGACATTTTTCGAATTTTTCAGTGAGATTCAAAGGAGAATAATGCAGTGCGTATAACGGCTAGAAAAAAACGAATGCTAACAAAAATCTGGAAAATATGTTTACAATCGTTTTTACAGTCTGACGATTTGTCTCCGGTTAGAGATATAAAGACTTCCCTCCCCCCCCCTCTATAAAAAACTTATCAGATCCACTGTTATATTGGGAATCATAATTTTATGATAAATATTTTTATATTATCGACTAAGTTATGTTAATAAATATATCATGACCATAATACACACGCATAATAGATTACTACAGCGTTACTCATAAATAATTTAGAAATCTAGAAATTGTGAACTAAAAGCGTGCAGCACAACCAGACTGGTGCGGTTAAGAGAGACTATATACCACGCGATCAAAGGTATAATAAAAAATTATTTTATCTTACTATAACGATAAAAATAACAAAATAACAAAATGACTCACCGGTTCATCCAACGTCTGTTGCAGTTCGTCTTCGGTTTCCTGAACGATAGTGCCTTCGGGCAACTGAAACAATACATTTATGATATTATATTATTATATATTGTGTAGTATATGTACACACTGTGGCTGGTTAGCGGTTTGCGGTTATTATTAATATGATATTGCCATACCGTGGTGAGTGATATGCTTGACCACGGTCACAGATCACTGTGTATTATATGGAGTTATTGTCTTTGTTTTAAAAACCGAAAGAAATGAAACTAAGTAAATAGTAGTGGTTTTCTACAACTCTGCTTCTTAGTGATGAGGTTTGTTCAAACTTGATAAATAACAGTAAACATTAATGGAAGACTCTATTTAAATGGTGGTTTATAATTTTTTTTTTTTTTAAAGGGAGAATAAAATAATTTGAATTTTTGGAATAATTACAAAGTTCAATTTATTCGATAGGCAAGCGTCTGTAACATCTATACATGCGTTAAAAAATATGTTTTGTTTTAAAATTCAATAGAAAGTTTTGATTGTAAGTCTTTGTTTGAGGATGGCTAATGTTTTTTAATACGAACAGTGGTAGAAAAAGGATGGACCTTACTAAAAATATATTAAAATATAAGTGCTCGTATATTATATGACAGTATAATATAGTAAATTATAAATTAAAAATGTAATAACTAATAATTCATAATTATTATTTGACATGACTAGTACCTTTTCGCTAGTGTGCACGTTTTGTGATTCCTGTTCCTCGGTGTTGGACTGTTCATCGTCGGCCCGTTCGTCGTCCTGCCGCACGAGTTGCTTGTGTCGTCGAGACGGCGGCGGCGGTCGTCTGTCGCTGTCTTCCTCGTCGAGTTCTTCTTCGACTGGCGCTGGCGGTGCAGGGGTGGTTGCCTTTGCCGGTTTCTTCTTTCTCTTCTTCTTGGCCTTTTTCGCCTTGACCGCCGGCTGGGTGGCTGTCTCCTCTTCCTCTCCATCTTCGATATCGTCGACGACGACTGCACCACCGCTAACGTCACCGTCGTCCGGTCGCCGGCGCCGTACCGATTCCTGGGCTCGGTGTCGATCGTCTCTCTCTCGCTGCTTGAGCAGTCTGTTGAACCGGGTCACCAGATCATACTCGGTGGGTGCCAAAAGGTGTCGCTGAGCGGTTGGTGGTGCCGGCAGGTTGTACAGGAACGGTACTTGAGTGTACCGGGTGGCCGGTTGCGCTGCACCATAAGGTGCGTACCGGTGCTGCAGGTGGGCTTGGTGACTGGGATACGGCTGCAGCAGCCTCTGGTGATGGCGATGAAGGTGATGGTGTGGTGGTGGATAGACCTGATGCATGGCGGTAGCTGGTGTCTGTTTGACCGGGTGGTGACGGTAATGGTGGTTGGGTGGTTGCTGGAGGGCCGCGTACTGCTGGTGACCGGACGTCGACACCAGTGGCTGCAGCGGCGTCTTGCCAGTGGCGTGCTGGAGCGCGAACTGGAGCGCCGGCAGGTTGTCCAACAGCGCACGGTCGTCCGCCTCTGCCGCCAGGTACGGGAGCTGGTACGCCACCGCGGCCGCCGCCGGTTCCCCGTACTTGACGATCCTGGCCACGGGCTGAGCCCTGTGTGGTTTGGGGGGCGCATACCGGACCGTGGACGGGTCGTCGTAGGCCGTCGGCTGCAGTTGCAACGGGTTCATCAGTATAGGTCCGCCGTCAGCGTGTACCACTGTGGCAGTCTGTTCCCACGGCGGACGGTCGCCGCCGCGTTGATGGTACGCCGCCGCCGCCGCCGCCGCCACGGCTGCGGGTTGCTGCAGCGCGTGCCGCTGGTGGTGGTTCTGCTGCTGCTGTTGCTGCTGTAAGTGCATGTGCAGTTGGCGAGTGAAGGCGTCGGCGGCGGTGCCATGGACGACGGGTGGCGCATAATATTGCACGCCGTAGTAATTGTTGGCCCTGGACGACATGCTTTTACTGCTGTCTGCGTACCGGCGGCCTGTCGACGCCAAGGTAGCCAGCGCCGCAGTGGTCGTGGTATTCGCCTTAGTCGTCTCGTCGTCGTCCGCCTCCGCTGTCTGAACCTTCATGTCGGTGTCGTTGCGTGGCGGTCTGGAGTATACGATTTTTGGTTGGGCGCCGCGTGCGCACATCAACAACACCTGCGCATACTTTATAAGAAGGGCGGTCGTAAGATAACAATATTATAAATGCAGTAGGACCTCGCTGGTCCGACCCACACGCGACCTCATAAGGGTTATTCGATTAAGAAGGTACGTCAGATTATAGAGGGTTCGACCAAAAACTGAAACGATTTATTATTAATGCAAAAATGCATGTATTATGTATGTATTACTCGTATTTATATTATAATTATATTATAAACGTAACTGTATAAATGTATAGAATTATAAAAATGTTTGTTTTATTTGATGGACTCGTCGATTTTTGTTTTGTATGTTTTTTACTTTGTAAATCATTTTTCACTGTCTGAACCAGCAACCGTTCCATACCATTTTATACCTAGATTTTACGACCTTTCCATCGGTCCATTGAGGACTGGAAATAAACACTCACGAATTTAGGTTTTCAGGAGATTTTTTTTTTAACAAATTAATGTACCTATTTGTATGGGACTTATAGATTTTGAACTACTGATCCAATTGGCAATAATTTAAGCCCACATATTCTTTGGGGTTCGGGAAGTGTTCTTTACTTCATTTTTCAACCCTTATAGATTTCTATAAGATGATTCACGTGTTTTTGGTTATATATATTATATAGGATTGTCATTGGTTACAGAAATAAAATTTAAACAAAAAAAAAACTGAATAGACTAGCCGAACTGCCATGCGATGCTACGGGATTTGAAATGAAAATAATTAATACTTAATTAATTATATTTGCTATTTGAATATAGCTTATAGACTCAAAAACTACCAGATAAATGTTGACGAAAGTTTCAGAGTTTGTCCTTAGATATATCAGGAAAGTTTAAAAAGTAGTTTGAAACACGTCCGAAAAGATTCTATGTGCCACAGGCGTATTGCTCATTTCTGACGAATTAGTTCACGAAGTGAAATACAGCACCGATGACGATTTTCCCGTGAACTGAGGTACACTAAAACAGTAAAACCGAGATAGGCCAATATAGCACCGCATGCGTACCAAAACACATTTTACCTATATTTATTTTTTCCCGGGCGAAGTCAAGGTATACAGCTAGTAATAAAATATAATAACTATTGACCTCGTTATATTTTTAAATATGTTTAATAAGTTCTACACATAGAAGTTAATGATATGCTGTTTTACTTGAACACATTGATCAAACATTTTGACTCAACATTTGTCTCAAACTTCTTAATGTTCGAGTTATATTAATAGTTTGTGAACAAATATTAACCTATCACTAACGATAACATTTTACATACAATTAATATAATATTAAACTTGGAATGTTATGTCTAATATGTAATAGACTACTACTTAAAGGCTAAAATGTAAACGGATTAGACAGGGTACATATTCGCTCACACCCTCTCATGTCTAAGAGTATTCAATTATACGGATTTTTAAAATTTTCTCTCGACAGACACCAAACACTCGAATATTTACGACTTAGTTTTCATTTCATCCCCCGAAGCTACAAGACTATTATTTTCGTTGAAACGATACAAAGCCGTATTCATGAACACCGCGATATCCGTCTGGAGACAGTCTTCGCTGGTATACTATGCTACAGAGATGGCTACAGTGGACTAGGAGCGAAAGATACAGGTACAATTAGGATTTACCTATGTTCATAATACCCTACACTGCATAGTGTAACCATTTGGTTACATACTGATTTTATCTGAAAATAACTGTCTTTATTTCATATTTTTTCATTAATGCGCATTGTAGACATTTGTCAATATACCAAGTCGTATAGTGATATCAATATTATCATAACAACCATGGTAACAGTAATATTTATCATATGTTTTATTTTCACTACCCAATATCTTATCAGTTGTCTAGTACCGATGTGTTTATCATATTTTATCAAACTGTATAAACCCGACTTGGATTCAAAAAAAAATATATTTGAAATCATAATTGTAAGTACTATTTATTAAAACCATAATTATTCCAATAAATATAATTACTTTTGTGTAAATTACATTTTTCTGTTTATAGCTTTTTGGATACAGTGTGCGTGCGTCTAGGAAACAAAAATGAAGGATGAAGAAATCCAACAACTCCTTACGTTACCACTAGATTGGAACGTAAGTGATGACGAATTTGATGAAAAGTGAAATTTTATTTTAAGTTTTTAGAATAGTATACTGTTTTTGTAGTTTTATAAATTTTGTATTTTAACAGTACTTGGATATAAATTTTATTTTGTATAGTATTGATTATTATAAATTATTTTGTGCTATAATAACTAATAACTATAAGTTTATAAAGTACATCATGTTAATATAATGAATGTTTTCATATCAAACATTTAAAAAAAAAAAATCATGTCACTATTGCACACTGTTGCAGATTGGCTACAAACCCTTAAATTGTAAAAATGGATGAATTACAATTAAAATAAATTTTTTTAGTCATTTTTCCCAAATTCAGCATCAAATTCTCTTAAAATTTTTTTTTTTTTTTTTAATACAAAATATCATGCAGTGTAGGGTTACATAAACCATGTTCGGAGACTGGCGAGCAGAACCACGGTTAACCACGAATTTTTCGCAGCATAAAAATTTCTTTTGAAAACGCCACTTTACCTCAGGCTGTGAAATTTGTGTTTGCAGAAGTCGTACGTAGTATATTTACAACCAAAAAAACATTTTATTAATAATAATATTATAAAAAATATTATATTATATGCCACACGTATACACATTGCGCTATAAAATGATATAACATTATAATAACATTATTAATTTCTAACATTAGGATATTAATCTAACGAATATAATTGTATACGACAAAGGCATGTATATAATAATGCTACCGCCGTATGGAGCCACTGCTGCCGGAATCCTACTGGACTGTAGCCAAACCGAGGAGTGCGATTGAATGGATTTCACTGGAAATTTGAGTGGGACGATAAATTCGATACATAATATTATAACATTATTATATCTACATTCTACATTTCCACCTACTAATTTGTCATCACCGATGCGAATGTCTAGAACACGTTCACATGAACTGTATGATTATTGGCCGGGTGACTGGGTGAGTGGAAGAAGGCAATGCCAGAGCAAGAGCAATATAATATCGTGATGTACATGGGCAATAATATTGTGTATTATTATGTTATTATCTTGCGTATCCGTCTGTTTTACTTCATAATATACTCAAATTGAATTATTAAAATCTCAATGCACTGTTTCGTTTGCTAAAATCGACCGAAATTCCAGCCGTCGATACTGTCAAACATTTAATAATTAAATAGGTAGAATATACGTTTAATAATCAAAACCATGTATTATATAACACAAATTCGATCAAAGGGTATAATAATAATCATGAGACGTATTTCTCTAGACGTTATATTGTACAGTTATTGTAGTGGAGGCAAATACCAAACGCAATAAAAATTTGTATAATTGGACTAAATTCGCATGTTATTAAAATATACTACGACGTGTTCCAAATAATATTATTATTATGGTCATCTCTTATGCTCATCTAATACGGAGACACGGAGTATTCCAATAATAACATTCTACGCATAAGACATAACATACGTCCCATTTTACAGTCAGCTTTGTAATATTTGTTGTATTACACGGGTACATATTTTATGTTATTAATTACTGTGAAATTCGAAATATACTTAATATGGTTTGATGTGGATGAAAAAAGTTTTGTTAAAATAGGAATACACCTGAAAACCGACGACGACTGTCCGATAATAATATACACGTATAATTTTATCAAAAACATGAAAACAATAATATATTACGTATACAAATATCGTCCAAACCATATTCTGCACGACAGCATGCCATAAAATATTATGTGGTAAATGGTAATGTATAATTAACTATCTTAACTTCAGGATGAAGTGTACGTTTTAAAGCGAGTCTTGATGAGATGGACGCATTTGAAAACCATCCAGCAATGTAAATTTTAAATATCGTATTTTCAACGAATAACGATAATATAATATTATTGTATGATTTATAGTTTATACTATATATAATACAACGAATTTCGGTGAAATATATAATATTTAATATGCGTATTATACGTGGTTTCGATGCAAACATGAGCGCCATGTAAAACAATTTTCATGTCAAACGAATAATTTACAAATAAAATATATTATTTGTATATTATAAAATATTTGACTTTGACCTGTCTAGCTTGATCGACCGGATGGTAAGTTCCGGTCACGGATCTGTAGGGTTTGAACTCTACGCGTACCTACATATTGTAAATACGTCCATTGGTCGCCGCCTACGTTAACCTTTGCAGGTGATTCCATACATATTCTGCAATTATTCCTCCCTAAGCTGAATCCGACGACGATTAAAATTTAATTAATATTCTCATCGTCCGATATTCTTAACTGAAGGTATAAATGTTAAAAATATAATGTGCAATGCCGTGATAAAATATTTTTCATAAATTAGGGACAAAATTATAATATTTTTACAATTGAAGTACAATATTTTTATACTTTATGAATCGATTTATAATGAAAACGGAAAAAGTAATATAATTATTAATTTAATCAGATCATTGTTGTGTTCTATCAATACATGTATTGTAATCAATCGAGTATGCTAAATGTAAAGACTTGTACTTTGCATCAATTAATATTTTTTTACTTGACTTATTGTAATGCAAACCTATATAATATTACCGTAAAAATATTAATTCTTAACTAATTATAACAGTTAAACCTCGGATCGTTCTACAAAGAATTAAATGTACCTCCATTTGCATGAAGAACAAAAGTGTTAAAATAATATATAATATAATATATTTAATCCTTGGCTGCATAACTATATACATAATACACCATATGGTCCAAAGTCTAAACATTTATAATAATATATAGGTATTGGAGAACCTTTGGTTACAACAGCCCCGTTATTGAATTTTTATCCAAGAACATAGTAATAAGGAAAATAGTGGGGTGATGGGTTTTTTGAGATATATGAAA